CTGGAAAGAATGAAAATACTAAATACACTTTGAAATTAGTTCATGACTTTTTGACTTTGCTATCATATAACACTCACAGTTCATCTTTAAAATCTGTAGCAAATCTGTTACTTTACTCAGCTTTGTGCATGATAAATGTATACAAAAATTGCTGAAATTAAATGAACACAAAATATTTACTCAAAATTCACTACAAAAAATTGATTGTATGTAATCTTGTAATGTGATCTTTAGCGAATCTCAAAAAGAATATGCAGTTTTAAGGCTATGTACAGTATAATACTGTAATGCCTAAATTCACTTGCAGCATTTAAAATGTTTGTTTATTAGTGCCTCATTTTTTATTTATTTAGACAAAATTGCTTTATCAGTCATTGGCCGTGGCATGAAAATCATCTGTATCTGTATACTGTGGTGCATCCCAACTCTTTTTGTCATTTTTGGAGTGAAAGTCCATTGTGTTCCACAAAAGAAAGAAAGTCATATAGTCTTGAAATGATATAAGGATGAGTAAATGCTGACAGAAATGTTTTTTTTTACTGCTACAAAACTTTAAAAATGACTAATAAGTGAAAGTTGATTAATGAGAATAAAGCATGGATATCTCATGAGCTTATTGCAGACTGTCTCTGTGGGCGATCTCTGTCACGTCTGCTCCTCATAACGAGGACATGAAGCTCCCATTTCCAGTCAAGTCCCGCTGCTTTGTTCCTGTGACCCAGGGAGGGACCACGAGCTGCATGTCTCCCTGCGAAATATCAGAGACCTGCTCTCCTTTCATCAGGGCTAAGCACCTCACGTCTAATGTGACTGCAGTCTGGCCAGCCATCTGCTGCCTGGCAGTGGGCCACAGGCCCTGGGCCCAGCATCAATCTGTGGGACAGTGCGGCCCTTTTCTACCATCCTTTTGCTCCTCTAATGGCACTTGCATGCTGCTCAGTGAGCTCCCAGGCCAAAGATGTATGCGCTATAACCTAAAGAAACAGATCAAATATCTATAGGTGTGTCTGAAGTAGTAGCTTTTTATTAGTGCTACTTGGGGAGCGAGGGACCAATGGAGGTTCAGGTTATTACACATGTAGTGTCATTTTTGCGTTCTCCTCCCTCATCTCCCTCCTACAGGCTCAGACGGGGAGTTCGCCCCACTCATCTCCCAGTCACAGTGCCAGCTGCACCATGCCTATGCCCATCCGCTCCACCTCAGCCGGCTCAACCCCCACACACATGCCACAGGACTGCCTGGCAGGGGTCGGAGATGACGTGCTGGATGCCTTCTCTCAGGGTGAGAAGTCTGAAGCTTTGCATTGACATTATCATCCACACAAGATGATTAGAAGATGTTTATAAGATGATTGGAAGATGTTTATAAGATGGTGATTGGAAGATGTTTAGAAGATGATGATTGGAAGATGTTTAGAAGATGATGATCGGAAGATGTTTAGCACTAAATATACCATAAATGTAGTCTATACAACTGTTATTGACTATATTCCAAGACATCTAATGCAATATGATAGTGAGGAACAGACAACAGACTGAGTTGCTAAATTAATTTTGGATTGATATATTATAGCTCTGGATATTGTGATCTGAAAATGTAAAATGTTCATCCAGGTGTACCAAGAAATCTCCGTAATGATCTTTTAGTGGCTGCAGACTCAATCACAAACACTATGTCGTCACTAGTGAAAGAACTTCACTCAGGTACATTTGTAGACTCACTTCTGTCTTCTAAGTACCCACTTCATGATTTTAGTGGTAATTGTAATGTTTGTCAATTATGCAGTGGACGACGGTATAGAGGAAGAAGAGGAGAACATGCAAAATGGAAGGGAGAAGGGTGAGTCCCAAAGGCCTTG